TGGGGAAATACCACAAAATGGAAAACTGAACTAAATGTTTTCCAAACTTAAGGTTTTAATATAATGAAAGAAAGCTTCTAAATAAAAAGAATGGCCCAAAATTCAAACTGGAAAGTAGAGTCATTCTTATTTATTCCTGTGTATCATCAACATGGAAGAAATAATAAATGGCATAAAAGCCTGAAGACCTGAAAACAGGGTCAACATCAATATTGTCAGATGCTAAGGAGTGCGACTTCACCAATGAATGCTCTCATCGTCCATAGCCTGCCTGGGCTCTTGCCTGACCAGTTAATGGCTGTGTGTGGCTAATGGATAGCAGGAGAGGCAGGAGGGGACCTGGCACCTCAGCTCTGGCTCCCAGGCCGTGCGGGGCCCGGCGGCTCGGCCACGCCGCCCGTGCAAGGGCGGCACCTGCGAGGCCGCGGGAGCGCGCTGCACCCCAGGGGGAGACTCTGGACGGTGGATGGGTGGCTCAGGGGTTCTGTAAACCATTTTCACATTGTTAGTTTTAATGAGGCAGTACCCCCTGCATGTCTTCACACAGCCCTGCCCTTTCTGCCCTCTTGGAGCACAGCATTTCAGGCTCTCAACCAGGCACCATTCTGTAGCTAATGCTTCCTCTACACATCCCTCATCCTGAGCAGATCCAGGACTCCAGCATGGGTCTCACAGAAGCAGATGGCCTACCAAAGGGCTAGTGTGAAATGCTAGTGCTCTTGTTTCTCAAACAAACACCAATGAAAGGAAGCAAAAACAAAACAAAACAAAACCCACTCAAATAACCACCCAAAAACCCACCAACCCCAAAACCCAAAGACAAATGACTCTGACTTAAAACTAACATTGAACAGAAGCAGAATCTGATCAAAACATATCTAGAATAGGAAAGAAAGGTAACACTGACTGAAGCGTGTGCTAAGCAGTTCATAAAGGCACTGTGAAACAAGTAAACAGTGTGCAATCTGAATATTGTCATCTGAATGTCATTGTGATGCAGCAAACAATGAAATAAACCCACTGCATCAAAACAAAATAAGAACCAGACAATCATACTATGTAGTTAACCCCTAGTTTTAATCTAGTGATAATTGTGGTAGAAAGCATAGGTATTCTCTGAAAGAGAGACCAGTATACATTTTTCTCCTTTCTTTCCTCTGTGTAGGCGAGTGCTTTGAACAGTAAACCTTAGAGTCATGTTCCTTCTTGCTTCCTCCTCTCTGTCTTAGTTTCCTTTCTGCAAACCCCATCCAGGACTTGGAGAAATAAAAAAGTCATAAGTGCCAAGACTGAGGACAGAACTTAACAGCTTGAAAAGATGGAAAGTCCCTTCTTACATCTTTAACTGAAAGCATAATTGTAAATTTATCTTCCAAAATGTTAAAGGGAAAATGTGGTGTGTTTTATTTTTTTTTTCTTGCATAGGTTTTCCTACATCTGAAGACATTTTTTCCTTTCACTACATGTTCAAAAGTAGAAAGACAAGGGAAAAAAGCCCAACTACTATTTTTTTTACTAGCATTTGCATTCCATTGACAATATTTGCATTGGGCATGTTTAGACATCTCCTTTTTTTTAGTTTCCCAGTTCTCAGAGCAACCACATTCAGCTGTTGCATCAGTTCAAGACTAGGTAAAAAAGATAACTAAAATCTGAAAAAAATTTCTTCTCACTTGATTAGATTAACTAGTTAGCTGATCTGATTGATACAAAAGTATTCAACTCTTTTCCCCCTAGTTTCCTACATTCTGCTAAAGAAATTTGTAGTGGTAGTAGGTGAGAATAATTTCGTTCTGAATGCATGAGTGTAACTTCAATAATACAGTAACATTAATTTTTAAGAATAGCTGTATTAAATTTAAAGCTAAATACTTTATAGTTCTAATATGTTTAATAAAAGTAGTTTAAATAATTACAAAAAACTAATGGATTAATATTTTCTTCCATATATGCTCCTGGAATTGAATATTACAACAGAATTAATATTAAATTGGATTTTATATATTATTCAAGACAAGTCTTTGGCCCTTTTGACTAGATAGCAAGCAAGCTGTGGCTGGATGCTGTTTCCTCTTAGAGGGTTACAGCATAAACAAGGATCCGGTCACAGCAATTAAAGGGATTGTGAAAGTTACAAGAAACTTTGCAATCAGGCATGAAATTAATTGGTAGATCAGCTACACACTGACTCCATAGGAGAGCAGAAGTCAGCTTCTAGCAGCAAAACAAAAATCAACTAGCTCTGGGAACTAAATCCTGGTGATTTCAATACCAGTTGTTTCTGGAACAAAAGCAATTACTGCCAAGAGGGGCAAAAGAAGACCTGGACCTGCAAGTTTGGCCTCCTGTTCATATCAAACACTGGGATGGCATGCACTGAGCAGGGTCAGGGGGAAGAAACATTATTCCTCCCATTCACAGACAGCACAGAGCCTGTGGGAGAAACTGTCCACTTCTGCTCCTAGTGAGTGCAGCAGAAGAGCTGCTTTTAGTAGCCAAACTAAATTCAGTCTGGCACTGTGCCGCAGACATCTCCTAAATGAATTTCTTAGGCAGGGACAGAAAACAAACCCAGTCAGATGGTCTCCAAAGCCACTGCCTTAACCACAGCTCCCTTTCCATTGCCCAAATCTGCTGTTTCCTGCTGCCCCTCTCCCTCCATGGCCATGCTGTCAGAGGGGATTCACACAAGAGATGTAAAAATGTACTTTGTTAAAAGACCATGCTGTGCAGCTCTGTTTTCCTTGCTTGTGGATCACTGGAGTGTTCAAAATTCTGCTTTTATCAGATTCAATCATCCTCTGTTAAACTCAGCAGAATTCCTCTAAACTACAGAATGACATTTCCTATCAGTTTCTTTATGTTTCACTAGAATAGTATAGCTACTGTATGGAACGTGCAATTGGAGATTATTGAGGCACATCCCCAGAAGCCAATTAGAGAAAATACCACACTTGGCGATCTCTTTTGGATATAAAGAGAGACTGGTTCTGCCATCTTGCTGTAGTGGGGTTAAATATACATCAATATACATACAGGAGACACTCATGGCTGTAACAATAACAGATCTGAGTGATAAGCATTGCAATTCAACAATATAGCACCACTGTCATCTTTTGAACTATGGATGAAAAATATCAAAGAGCATATTTGCACTCTATTATGAAGTAATGAACACATATAATTCATTTCACATCTCACAGCTAGAATAGTGCCTGTCAGAAGATGCACTTTGATTTTTAAGTGCAAAATCCACATTTTTCCTTGTATGCCTTTTAGGCATACCAAGCCATAGCACAGGGTCCACTGGGAGCTATGTTGTTCTAAGAGAATCATGCAAAAAGCAAATATTTGTGTCTTGGAGGGTGTGGGGGTAGGAATGGGGTTTGGATTTCCTTCTCACCATTCCAGGTCTGATCACTTTAAGTAAAATAAACCAGAGCAATATCCTTGTGTTTCCTTGCCCTGTCTTGATAGGGTTGAAACAGGGATGGAAATGCAAATGTTACCATTTTTTTTTTTTTTTTGCTGCTTACATAGATCCTGAAGTGGCTAACAGCTGGAATCTGAGATTCTTTTTTATTTGAGTAAATTACAGTAAAGAGAGCCAGACTAGACACTTGCTCTGACTCTTTGCTCTGTTCAGAAGATCCCTGTAGGTGGCTAGGTCCATAGTCACTGGAGTGTAAAGGGTACCAGCCTATTTCATGAGCCTTAACTCCTCTTGGCACCACCACTACAGCATCCTCTTTGAGACTTTTGGCAACCAGATAATGTGAGTAGTTGATCTGGTCAGGGATGCTGAAACAGCTTTCCTTGCACCTTCCCTCCTCCTCAATACTTGAAACACAGAAGCTCCCTTGTATTCAGACTAAGTTTTATGATAATTAAAACAGCTAGACAAATACAATATTTAAATTCCACATTTAAAAAGAAAATCACGATTGTCATATACAGACAATCTTGAATACATGGTACTCAACCAGCATTTCTGTTTCTCTGCACTTAAATGTGTTGGTCATAAAACCTCTACAAGAGAGAGGATACAGGTGCTATAGATGATTGCCTGTATAGACAGGAATAGGCAGGAGCCTGCACATTATATTTATTGGCTTGGCTGTTTATCCTTTAGGCTAAGGTCGTGTGCATTAACCTAACCACTTCCTAGGTTTATTTTAAAAGGAAAAATAAAACACACGCCTAGAAATGCTAAAATGTAAATGATTCCAGGTGTGGTGTTCAGTGATCAGTCAGTTAGGCCTTTGTTAAATCTTTTGTAAGAGATTTAACTTTGTTTCTGCGAGGCATTGGTGGCTGAGCCATCTGCAGAGGTGCAGCTCTGAAACGGATGAGACCTGCACAAATGGCAGCTGAAAAAGTGACTTCACATGGCACTGGTACAACACACGTTCACAGGCTGTTATAGGAGCAGCTCTGGCTCTGCCAGGGAGGGCGAACCAGGGGACTGGAGCAGGGACGGGAGTCAACAATGGCACCAGCAAGGGACACAGGCCCAGGTCATGTTGAGAGGAGAGTACTGCAAAGCCTTGGAGGACAGGGCCGTGAAGAGAGCAAAAAAGGCTATGTTAGAGAAGAGCTATAAGGAACATTTAGGAAATCAGGGCAAGCCACACCTCTTTCCTTTCCCTGAGCCTCTTTGGTAGTGCTCAGCTGTGTGACAATGATGGCTCAGCAACAGCAACCACTTGGTAGAGGGCTGCAGTGTAAAAGTAGGGCAAGAAACCAGAGGAGCCTGTTTGTACTAGGGAGAATCCTTGAGTTATTTGCAGTAGAAAGGTAGATGTTTTCAAGATGAACACATAGAAAGAAAACATAGGAATTAACTGAAAAAATTAGAATGAACGTATCTGAAAGGAGTGGGAATTGCAGTACATATTGATAAATATTTTAGTTGATATTTCATTAATTTGTTTTTGCAGGCTTGGACTAGACATTTAGAGGTTATTTAACAGCAGTAAATGATAAGGTATACAACTAACCTCATACTGTATATGTGGAGAGAGGTTGGCAAATGGTCATAGTTCCAGTCTTCTGCCTGTGTTGTTGGCTCAGAGACAGCTTCTAATTGGTTGTGTAAAGCATCATTTGCATAAGCATCATCACATAAGAAAAACTGCACCTGAATGTTGTAGAAAGAAAGAGTGAGACATGGAAAAGATCACAGGAAAGAGCAAGCATTTTAGAGAAGACAAAATCACAGGGTCCACAAGAGCATGAATTATAATGACATTTTATTTTCTTTGTATAAACGACTTTTAGACTAAGGCACTTGTATCAGTTTTCCCAGAGCTGTATTAATTTTCCAGTTCTGTCACCAGCTTCCGAGGTACCTTTGAAAACCACTTACTCTTCAAGAATATACAAAATATATGTTACTGGTTTCTAGAAATAAAAATGAGATCATCAGAGTCCTCTCCTCCCAAATCCAAACTCCATGACCCTCCTGGAAGTAAAGCTCTTTTTGAGATTTCAGTATTCTGAAAATTGCTGAGAACTGCTTAAAATCCACGCTATCTTCTCCTCTGGTGCCTGGGGCCATCTCTTCCCACCCAGCTCACAGCAACATGAGGACAGTGCTTGTACATTAGTTTGCTACTTTCACTGTGGTGGACAGAGCCTCACAGATACCCTCTAAACAAAAAGGTTGAAAACAAGTTGCATTTCCATAGGTGTGGCTAAGGCATATAACATAAACAGACCTCATTTTTGTCTGCTTTTCTTTTATCCCTAGGAAAAATACTGCCAGGTTATATTTAGTATTCTAAACCAGTCACGAGAAGAGCACTGGGCGGGGCTCGTGGTTTTTCAAGCACTCATCGGATCATACCATCTTGGACAACTCATTTATTCTGTGTATAGTGAATTCTCTGGGTTTGCTTCTATTTAGAGGTCAGTAGAACTCCTTTTCTCTGTTCCCCAAGACAGAAAACCTTACTTAGCATGACACCCAGACTCAGCCAGGACAAAGCGTGCCTGGCAGGTCTTTTGTTCTCACCTCCCAGGCCAGAGCTCCTGCACAGCCAGTTCTTCAGACAAAGAAGATCAAAAGTTTGGCACAAGTTCTTTCCCATTTTAGCTACTCTCCAGCACACCCAGACAACTATATAGGAAGCAGATACGTGGTCTGTCCCCAGACAGTGCAGCAGGACTGCATGGGCAGTCCTCCCATGGGCAAGGGAGCTACAGGGGAAGCACAATGACACCAGGTGACCCTTCCAGGGTGAGGTGGCTCCAAGGGCACCCACAGCAGCACTTACAAGCCAAATTTATTCAGGAACCCTTAATAACATTATTTAAATGTAGAGCTAATGAAAAAAAAAAAAAAAAAAAGCCCTAGGGATACATCCCATACACTGAGGTTCCTCAGGCTCGCAATCCTCTAAAGGGGATTCCTCACTGTTTGTATCAGCATATTTCTCCCAGCAGATGGGCCATCACTGCTATAGTTTAAGGGATTCACCTGTAAAACCAAAACAAAGCCTGTTAAGGGATTAGAGAACTTCAAGAACAGAGAAAAGAGCAGCTGTTTCCCTTTGTAGGTCAAGATGAGAAACATATTTTTACTTTCAGGAAATGAGATTAATTTCTAAATACCAAGGAAGAGTATGAATCCTTTTGTGACCAAAAGCAGGCTAAATATCTTTCTGATGTGGTATATTGGTACCAATAAACCAAAGGTACATTGGTATATTGGTAGAGGTAGTCTCAGTAATCAGTACAGGGCCATCTTAATTTTCTTTCTTGGAGCAAAAAAGAACTTAATTATCTGTAGTTGAGGTGGAATTTCTTGAAATAGACATCAATAACTACTACACAAACAGGCCAAAAAAGAATGAATCTTGGGGAATGGGTTGAAATAGTGAGATACATCATGAAATGTGATTAATGAAACCAAGGGAAATATAAAATAACATGTTTCCCTGGAAATGGACTGTAAGTGCACAATGTCTGCACAATATTGTACATCTGCAGTTCTCTGTCCTGCCACCTAATATCCAAATTGTCTGCCAGTATAAACACAGCTGCTAAATGTCTTCTACAACTGCAAAAATAACAAATCTCCACTATTCTCCCAGCTATTGAAGTATATTTTTACAGAGACAAATGCAATGTTTACCCTTGTTCAACAGGAGAAAATGCCAATGCCCAACATATATGTCTTATTAACACATGTTGAGAGTCAAATATCATAGATCAAATAAATGGGATGGTTGTTTTCTAGTATCTGGAGATGAGCTGAGATTTAATGGGTTTGGCCTGAGCAGTTTCTCATCTGGTTTCCGCATAGACATATGCCTACCCATCAACATAAAATCACCATTTTAGTTGGTTTTGACCATCACTACAACAGAATCTGGCAGGATTGCAAAGGATGAGAAATCTTCTTTTTGTAAACTCTGCTTTCCACATTGTGGATTGGCCTGCAGACTCTGCTGGGGAAGAGCTGTGCTCAGCTTCTCCCCAGCCTGGAGACATAGGTCTGCAGCAGCTGGGGGTGTGGGAGACTCTAAGTAACAATTTTCATGTTATAATACTATCCTGGACTGTAAGAAGTAATTTAAGATAATTTACTAGGTTGCATTTACTGAAACAACTTCTTTTCAGAAAATATAACTAAGGAAAACCCAAGTAAAGGGAAAATGATAGTCAGGATTTTCAAACTGTACTCTGCTTGGACTTTGCATAGATGAAGAGAGCATAAATGAGAAAAAGAGAATGAGAGAAAAAAGAAAGAAAGAAGGCTCCATAAACCTAGGAAGGGTACCAATCCATTTATACACTTCCTGGAATGCTGAGAACATTTAGTCTTACTGGCCACAAGAAACCACTTTTGTTGTGCAAAAGGTTTCACACATGGACTGAAGCCAGAAGTTTTTTCATGGCACTGTGGGAAGAAAAAAACATTACTGTACAGTTTGGTGAACTACAGACAGAAATTGGTCTGTAGGCCTGCCTGGTAAAACTTTATGAAGACACTGTCATTCCTCTCAGCCTCCTTCAAATCACAGGCTTGAAATGTACTTCTTCTCTTACAAGAACAGAAAACTGGCACCTACTCATGATTAGGCAAGTAAGCAAGGTATTACTGCTATTCTTGATTAGCTAAAAACTATGAACACACTTGTTTTTTGGCAGTTTGTCTCTCCCAACCTATATTCCACTTTTATCTTATTCATCTGTTAAACCATCAGCTGGCATTCTGTAGGGGAAGGAATATGCTTTTCTCTAGGCATGTACAAGAACTAGCTTCAGTCCACTTTTCCCCTGGCTGCAATAGAAATGCCAAGGACACTAACCAAAGCATAACTGTGAAGGTTATAATTTTTATCCTGTGAGAAAGCAAGATATAGCATAAATTGTAATAAAATTATAGAAAAAAATTACATAAGCAGTCATTAATGACAAATTAGGAAGATTCAGTTGCTCAAACCATCATGATAAGGAGTAGGATGCAACTTTGATCCTTTGTTCAAAATTCCAGTTTTCTTTCTCAATTTAAATTATTTCTTCCAGATATTTAATTGCAGACGTTTTCAACCTATTATTCTGCCAGGCAGAACACAGTTTTTGGATATTACTTTGCCAGTGATCCCCTGTGATCTGGAGTTGTGCTTGACAAAGCTGTGATGTGGATCAGACTGTTATGTTGGGGAGAGGGGAGGTCTGAGACCTCTATAAACAATCTTTACAGCAGATAAGTATTTCTGCACCCTTGCATCTGGATCATGGAGTACTCTCTTTGACCATTAGAAGAAAACAAACTGAAGTGGAAATCCAGACTCTCTTGGTGCCAGACTGCAAAACACAATTGGATCTACAAACCCAGCTCTCCAAGCTAGTTAGGTAGGAGTTTGAGCTCCAAGTCTTTGTATTTCTGTTTAATGGCTTCACATTTTAAGTAAAGGCTAGAGCAGAAACAAACAGTTGCTCCAGCTGAGAGGCTGTGTTTGCATGCTGTTCCCATCCTCTGGGCTGGCCCCAAGGAGCAGAGCTCAGCAAGCACGCAGCACTGCTCTTCCCAAGCAGCATGGCTTGGGATGCTGCCTCACAGGGGTGGGATAAGGTCACAGTGCTAGGTACAGCTGTCAGATGTGCTGCAGTTAAAGCAGGCTGATACCTTTAAAATCTGTGAATTTCTTCTATCCCACAGTTATTCTGGCAAAAATCACAACAGCCTTTTGACTACAGCAGCAATATGGGAAGAGGTGGGCACAAAATACAATGAGGACAGACATGCTGAAGACAGTGTGTGATATTGTGCCCCAAAGGGAGGCAGGAGAGCACAGGAGATGAACAACTCAGAGCTGAGTGTCTTCTTTGGACATTCTGCCTGGAAAAGCAGCAAGAAGTGGTCAAGTACCAATAAAGAAATATAATTGTGCTCTCATGTTTTTTACACAAGAGGCATCCATATCAGATCATGAATGTGGGGAGGGTTGCCAGCCTCATTTATATTTCCCTTATTCACTCTACTTTAAAAAAACCCACAAGTTTCCCACGTTTATGAATCTGCTAAAACACACGGCATTTCACAAAAATAGACAAATATATTTGCAAACTCTAAAGGTAACAAAGAATGCTTGGATAAGGATGCTGGTCACTGGGAAGGCATCACTTACTATGAAAATGTTGCAGAGGAAAAGATTACCAAATGCAATTGAAAAAATTAAGTGGCCTGATCATTACAAGAGATCAGTGTGTGCAATTCCCAGCCACTTCAGTGTGAGTCACTCATAGGTAATGTCCTGTGATGGTTGGACCTGAGGGATTCTAAAGAACCATGAACAGAAAACCAAACCCTAGACCTAGCTCTACATCCCTTGTAAGGCTACAGGAGAAAAACAAAACAAAATAGGAGAAGTAATTTTCAACAAAACTGTCCTCTTCCTGCCTTAACATCATTCTTGTTGCCAACAAAACAAATCCAAGTGATCACCACAAGCACACACCTCTCAGGAAGTCTGCCCTCACTGCTGGCTTCAAACATTTGCTGGGTTTTTACAGTGCTGAAATTATTCCTGCATCAAATCATGGAATTACAGTGAGGCACCACCCTGTCTGTGGTTACAGGCTGCACAGACAAAGCCTTGAAGAAAATGCTGGGTGCTTCCTCTAGTG